AAAAAAATAGCGATGGTAAACACAACAAGCGAGAATGTCGGCCGTTTAGGAAACACGAGTTTACTGTGTTATCTAAACTTCTGATTCCCGGAGCTATTTGGGGGATAAAAGTCAATTGTTCCGCCGAACGAACAGACCAAATAGAAAGAAATATCTCGCGTGAACGATGACTGTTTGTGCATATGATCGGCAAACATTCTCTCCTTCGACGTTCGTCTCTTGGCATTGTAGTTACCATGTCGATCCACGTTAGATCCTAGGCGAAACCATATATTTGCCGAGCGCGTCTGCGTTTTTCGGGATGTAAGAATATGATGAACGCCGTTCGCCGTTTATACAGGTGAAAGGTGCGTTCTAAGCAATTTGTAGCACTATTTCTGGGAAGTCCCGTGGCCTATAAGCAGCTCGCTTAACTGATACGCTAACGACATTTATCCGCACCCGTGCCACTCATTCAAATTAAGAATTAAGGATCTTATGCAGGATTCGAGGTGTTCTGGTTGGATCGTTTACAGACCTTTCGTGGACGGTTCCCCTTGGCGTGGGCTTTCTGATAGCTCGCCGTTGTGAGATCTCACGGAATTTCCCATGCTAGCACCTGCGTGGAAACGATAGCTGTGGTGTGATTTCTTCTTGAGACCTTAAAGGCTATTAGATGCTGCGCTCCGCTCAAGGCCTTACACGTCGACTTCTTTATAATTGCGTTTTCCCAAAATCGAGGTAGCGTGTAGCATAGTGCTATCCACTACAGACACCAGAAGACGTTTCCTCCCGTCTGAAACCCTCTTTCGTGAGAGCAGGCGTCGAAGTTGGTCGCTATCTCCGCGACCCGTTTTGCGGTGTAGCAGGCGTGCAGTATGCTAGTTGATCCTTAGTCGAGGATAATTCCTAGACACTTGACTAGTTTAAATAGCCCGACCTGTTTGGTGTCTAATTCTATGTGTAATTCCGACCAGCGAGTTTATCGGCGGCACCGCTCCTGCTTTTCCTAGCGCCAGGCTGGGTCGTCAGGGCCCAGCCAGAACGATATGCTAGCGAAAACCGCACTTACTATTCGTTTCATTTAATTGGGGTAACGGCTGGTCAAAACCAGCGCAGGATCGACGCTACTAACTGCGTGCCCAGGCGGTGAGGTAGGTGTAGCATTCCATCGTTTGTTATGTTCCACAAGGTAGGCCCAAAGACCAAACACGATGGAACTTTTGTTTTATCTTGGGTCGGTCGTCCTACCCCATCATTTGTCTTTCACTAAGACACGATCCTATTATTCTCCATATATATGGTACTAAATTAACTGCTCTCAAGGTGTCAACTATCGCGTCTTAGCTCGACGAGTTGAGCGTATTCTTCACGTCTGAAAAGAATCGCAAGACAGTATCTTTCAGATCGAGAGAGCATTGCCCTCTATGCTTCTGCGATACCCAGGACTTTCTTTACGACAGTGTGTATGGCATATGTTAAAACTGGTCGCCTGAAAGCGTGTAACTACTTTACTAGCTTGCGGGTAGGCGTGAAGTGTGCAACTTTTTAGAGTGCTGGGAACTGGCCCGTCTGGAGCATCTCGGCTACCATATGCTAGAAAATTTCCAGATAATCTCTGATGAGCATTAGCATCGTACCCGTGGGGACAGTGTCGGAGCCCGAGGCTGTCCACGGTTTCATTTTCGCAGCGGTACCTCACCGATAGCGATCAGGGGGAAGTTGAAACTCGCGACGGCAACAGAAAGCACGCGCCCTTTACATAATTTTTTGAAACTTAGCAATTTAATGAGCTTGCGCCCGGGAAGCATAGAAACTGCGCTTTAAGTTAATGCTTTAGTTTATCGTTGTCCAAGGATCTGGCTGATCTAAGCATCTTTTCGGTAGTCACAGATAAGGCTGAGAAGCGTAAAATGCGTGTGTATTTGATTTATTTTTGTATTTGATTTAAACTCTAACCCCACGATTCTCGGAAGAAAGAGATATGCGCAAAAAGTATGGTCCAGAGTTGCGTTTTATGTAATGTCCAAACATTAGGTCGGGAATGCTTAATAGGTATAAAATGAGTTGCTCGGCCTAGCTGATCAGCATTTCAGTTTTACGCTTCGTTTCCAAAGTCCTTCGTAGTATGTGACCAGCATTAAAGTTCCTTCTAACAATGATATGCTAATGACCATTGCTGCGTATTAGAGCGTGAATTTCGCCGAAGAAATTCCCGTACTCCGCCGTCGTAAAGTTTAGGGACATGTAGATTAAATAAACGGTGGCATTTTTTAGCTAGATGGATATGAACTGATTTCCCGGTCTCGTATTTACCATATGGGTTGTTGGGTCTATCGTGCGTTTTAGAAGGAGTTTTATTTTGGTGGCAGATCGAAGTGCTCCTTGTTCGAGCCGTGAGCTGTTCCGCAATCAACGAGAAATTGATGCGCTTCGTGGTAACGTATTGTGTAGCCTGACTGTAAATGACCGAAGGCTGTTTGAGGTTTATTTGAGAGATTTTACTGTCCATGTTTGGAGTACGCTTCCTGGCGTAATTTTCGCAACTGCGGACGGCGAAACATGGTGTCGTCCGCGCGTCTTGCACACGTAGCAAAATGTAGACTCGTGCATTTATTGCTTAAATTACTTCTATTACTGCACTTGGAGCACGGCAGTTTCTCCAAAAGATAGTTTCAGAACGAGGGTCTGATGCTCGGAACTGAAACAGGAACATGCATTACGAGACCGAAACCGCCTCGTCTACCCTGCACAGGACCCATCCTATTTTGATATAACCTTGCCTTATGAACAACTGGGCGGCCTTGGCCAACAGATTGATGCAGGTGTAATCTCCGGCACGAGTTTGCTTACGTGTGTTTACTTCAATGTAAGTGGCCGCAGTACCGCCGAAGGAGAGTACGCTGAAAATTTCCGTATGAATCGCGCCCATATATCTGATGATAATCGTACTAGGTTATATTCAGACAATCGCGCAAGTTGCCGATGTGGTGCTTGCTGTGGCGATAATTAGTATTATGGTCTCTTCGCGCTCAAACTTTTTCGATTTTTAATGTAGGCAACCTTTTCTGTACATCCGGACATACATATGAGAAAAATTTACAAGATTCTCCTCTATGACCTTCCTTGCGAGATATATGTTGCTGCCCGCAAGAGAGTTATTGATAGGCTTACACCTTTTTCTCGCTGCCCTTTTATTTCTACCAACTTATTTATCACGTCTAGCAGCGATCTTCGTAACGATTCACAAGTCCGACTTGCTCGTCTTGGAGAGCTGAACGGTACAGGATGGTATAAATGACATTAGTCCCTCTGACCGTTTCGCAGCATACACAAATAGGGATTCTTCTAAAAGCACCCGTGTCCCGTTAAGAGTTGAATCGGGTAGTTTGTAGTATCACCATATTCTGTGCTCATCTATTTTTTCAAGTCCTTAATGACTCGTCTATCAATGCCAGGAGCCTTCTTTGACTACTGAGTCCTCGTGCCTGGGATATGATCTTCACTAGATTATTTGGAAACTGTGTTGCCTTCTCTTGGGAGATCAAAATCACCTCGTTTTTTCTATGGGAACTTTTTCCGTGAGAGGACCCTCTGAAGTAACTCTTAAGCACCTGGCAGACTCCCTTACTTCGACGCTCGGACCGTTCACTGGTAGTTTGACCTTTCTACAGCGCTTCTTCATGGACGAGTAATGCCACTTTGCTCTTTTTTTGCGGCAAATCGTGCAGATCCATACGGTTATTTGAAACAGAGCGTATTCCTTTCCGCACCAGCAGAGCTAGGTGGTTCGCATACGTGATGAATTCCACTCCTTCGGTTTCGTCAAGGCTGTGGACGTCGTCGCATGTCATATACCAGGGCAGTGGCCTTAGGATACTCCGACAGTCCTATCGGAAATGTCATTTTCTTGCACCGGACTGACTGCAGTTAAGATAGGAGGCGACCGATACAGAAGAACCTCCTTTACGTTCGTGGTGTGAATGACTTCCTGCACTTTTAGTGATTCGAAAGCTCTGCGTTTGTGCGCATCGCTCTCTTGATCATCGGTATCCAGTCCGCTACTTTTCCGCTACCTCGAATATTTTCGTTATAGCTGTTGCTGTGTTTCAACATTTTCAGAATCTGATCCATGTGTCGGACACTTTTTGGCCCTTTTTTCTTATATTTTTAATTTATAGAAGCTGCCGCGTATTCATGTTGCTTCTGCTTTGGCGGTCCGTAATTGTAGCACTTTGGCGCTTAAAAGCATCGCTTGGCCGGGAGATCAACGGTCCTGCACCTGCGGCATTTCTATTTTTCCTTGACAGGCTTTCTCGAGGTGCCCTACTTTGTGAGCCTTGAAGTAGCACGATGGGCTGACCCACTCATTTAGGAAGTACAAAACCCAATTGATCTTGACCGTTCGACGGGCTAAAGAAGTCTTTGTTTTCTGCATCTCTCTGCTCATCGTTTCCGATTCGCTTGATCATCTTTTCGTGTTTTTTTTCGATTGCTATGGGGTTCGCTTTAGTTGCTTTCTGGTGGCTTGTTCAAGTGCTCCTTTCTTGGTGTCTTTTTCTGGGTTTGTGATTCGGATCTTCATTCTTAGGATAGACCCTTCTACGATCAGATCTGTTTGGCCCTCGATGCTCTCCAAGAAGCTGATGGTCGCTTCTCACTGTCACGATCACCATCACTATTATGCAATGATGACAACTCATCATTACCCGTTCGAAACATCAAACAACAAAACAGAACACATTCACAAAATTTAGTTCAGGCTTCTAGTAACGTGTCCTTTTTCAGTATCTGCTGATACTGACTATCTGATATCTATCTCATTATCTGCTGTCGTTGAACTATAAATAATCAAAATGAATCGAAGCTAATTCAAACCCACAAACGTCCATATAACATATCGGAATATACGAAGAACGTTTGGAACGAACCCTTAATCAGCATCACCGTAAAAACCGTAGAGACCGTAAAAACGAAACGTTCGTTGTCGACGAGGTTATGTCACATCTAGCAAACAGCCATTTATTATATTCGACTTAATAATCACCCAGGGATAAGTATGATCTTAGCATTTAGCAAGTGTTTATTAGGCAGCTGTGACCACCCTGTCTTTACCTACTGGCTCCACGAGGCAGACGAGGCATGTCGTGTCTACGGAAATTTGAACGTATATCAAATAAACAATATGCCTAATCTATTCGTCTTCGATAGGTGCGTGTCTGCTGTTAACCTATAATAGTAAAGAAGTGTTCTTCCATATATATAAGTATCTAATCATTTCTATTGTATTTACAGAAAGGTTTCATAATGTAGCCATTATACTACATCTTCTCCTACACATATTGAAAAAAAAACCGTATTAGAAAGTGTACGTATAGCTAAACTGTATATATATATATATATATATATATATATATATAAAAGCTGCGCTTTTAAAAGTCCATATTCATTAACTGTCATGTCACATAATGTAAAATTATTGGGTAAAACATTTTTCACTTATAGGGCATCAGTCACAGTTGTTGAATGAATTTAGCTAAATAATAAAGCAATGTGTGCCGCATTGATGCACAATGTTTAGGTAATTAAATTTCCGAATTGTGTTCCTGTGCAAAGCCTGCGTAGTGGCCCCCCATTTATGCCACGATACCGCCCAGACGGCCTTCTTCACCTGTTACAAGAGATGGAACGTACCCAGAGCGAAAGGAACGCATGTTATTGAAAAACAGCACGGTATAATTGTCAACTCTACGTAGCATACTGTTAATATATTGTTACGATAACTGTATATGCGCACGCCGCGGCGAAGGGCTACCGCAACATCGAGGAGCTTCTATCCGATTCATAAATAACTGCGTAAATTAATAAAAATTTTATATACGGCAGGTGGTTATCATGCACGATATATGTAGCTCGTGCGTTTCCTATTATCCTTATTAAATGATTAGATATATCGTTATGGTTGTACTAAAAAAAAAAAAAAAACATTGTATCCTATATTTTTAAATCAAAACTGTTCTATAAGTATCAAACAGATTGTATGTAATCAGATGGACTGCTCCATTAAAAGCCGTATACGTGTGTTACGGCCGCGATTTCCACTAACTTACCTCCATGCAAATCGTAGTCGTTCGACAATATTTTACGTTTGACCATACAGACCAGCCCCAGAACGACGCCAAAGATCAATACCGTAAAGGTGGCCGCTATCGGTAGCGCGTAAGCCTTGAGCGGCGCGATCTGTTCTTGTTCATCGGGCACACTGTCGCCAGCCGTGGAAGCGATTGCGTCGACTCGACCGTCGACGTCGTTCTCCTCGTTGCTTTCTGTCGTCGACGTAATTAATCTCAAATTAGGATTTCGGGTATAACTTTCTATGCGCATATCCTCGTTCTGTGTAAGTTTAGCCGTTGTCGAAACTTGCCACGAGTCTATCGCTAATGGCGTAGTTGCTGCTGTGGCCATCATCTCAGACTGTGCTATTATGGTGGTACCAATGTTCGGCGTCATGGCCGCCAGTGTTGTCGTAAAAGTTATGGTATCAGACGAGGATTCGTTTTTCGTTGTTACGCTGGACGTCTCGGTCATTGTGCTCGCAGCTGGCAGCTTCGTGGTTGTAAAGGACGCCGGTGTAGCGGTCCTAGCAGTTGAAATGAAATGTAGCGCTGTGGACGCGGACTCCCACCAGTTTGATGAAGATTCGGTGGAGGTCCCATTTATTAAACCGATATTAATCGAAACGGGTATACTTTTATTTTTTGGCTTGTGCATGGCGCTCGACGACAAAATGCCAGCTCTCTGCTGGCCTGACCGGGACACTTCGTCAAGCCGATTGACTGCACCAATCCTGAAAGATCATACGACAAGTGATAATATCAAACGAATCTCGAATTGAAAGATAGCATTATCCAAAGCGGCCCGATCAATCAGCTATCTATCTGATTTTGGCTAGGAATGAGGCCGAAACAGAAAATGATCGTTGAGGCTCCTAACTGACTTTGGATCACTCTGCATTAGTGAGTCTGGTCAGATTGAGGCAATATGTAGTCTGCAATATTGGAGCAAAGGACCCTAAGGTTTTTCTATTGCATGATATATTACACACATGAATAACGGCACTAGCCAATATAGCGAAGTTATCACCGGTATTTATGTCGCCACATACGAATAGTGCCCAGCTCAACGTTACAGTCGAAACGGACCCGCTGTATCTTATGAGCTATATTATACTGGCGTCATTTAATTGCATATAGTAACTTGATTGTTGCCACTATAGACAACAGGCAGATCTAGAATATACTCGTATTGCTATTGTTTTTTAGGAAATGAAGATGGGAAAAATCTAGCTTTTAGCTATTGTTGTTGTATGCGGGACTGCCATTAAAGGTGCAGCAACACCGAGATGTACATGACTCCAACTGTACTTCAGCTAGCGTAATAAGTCTATTACAATGGTTTATGTTCCACGAAATCATTTGTGATCATACATTGTTTTTTTTTTTTTTACCTGTGCCCGGCTGGAGCCAGCGACTGCAGCTTTCCAGATCTGTAAAGTTCTAACACCTCTCTGACTTTTTCGTCGGATTTCACTGCGTTGCCATCGCAGGGTCCAGGATGCATCAGAGAAATTCGAAGACCCGATATAAGGTGCTAGAACCAAGACGAACTCAGTGATTGAATGATGTTCAATGCATCCACGAGAATTTTGCACGCGTTTTGCAATACTCTCCCCACATATAAACAGTAATACAACCATACTTTATACGAAACGAAAAAGAAAACTATTATGCGGAAATGGTAATAACTACTCCGAGACATACAAATTAGTCAGTTTGTTTCCTCCACTCTGTAGGCTTAGGAACGAACTTGTACGCTCAAAGGTTGAAAGCCATTTGAGAGAAACTCAAAATACGCACTAAGTCTGTACGTCCTTGCTCAACTTTAGAATCTATTAGAGGGTCCAATATATAAGTTAGCTAAAAAGTACAAGAAAAGTGATTCATACTTGATTTTTGCCGTTAAAAGTTTTAGTGGTCGCCTTTATCCAGTTACTAGGATATTTCAGCTGTTCAGACAGTTTTTCAATGAACTGAATGATTTCGGCCCTGTCAAGCACCTCCCTATCGGCGAAATCGATACCTGTTTTGCAAAAATATAACGGGTCCGACATTTAAAACTGGCAGCCTCTCTCATAAAGATGAACACTAAACAATAAAAACGAACGACAATTATACTAATAAAGCTATAGCTGCTGTCGGCATCCACAGCCCGATAGGTATTCCGCTAATAAGTTACCGATATATGAGCGTATATCCGTGAACGGAAGCTTGTTGTAAACTATTTCAACTTACAAAGTACCTAAACAAAGGGTACTATTTACATATTGACAAGATCCTGGGTATTTGTTCACCGAAACAATACAGCGTTTTTAATATATATATCGAACTACTCTACTGCCTACCATTCCAGTTTAATATAAATCCTCGAATAGGCAACCCATAATTAAGATATCAATAATATAATTCGGCAGCTTACCGACGCTGGGTATCAGGCGACAATAACTATCCGTTTCATCCAGATCTTCAGGAATTAAATCAATTCGACGATTGCTCTTCAAATGGTTAGAGAAATAAGTTTTTAGCTGTAATGTAGTTTTCCCATTATGTAACGGAAGGCCTTTGATTATAAGTTTGTCCGATTCAATCTGAATGCTTGTCACAAACGGATGTTTTTCCATAAGGACCTTCGGCTAATCAAAGAAGGAACAACATACGAAATATAAAGAGATATGCTTATTTGCGAAGAATACATTGGTTTGTATTAAAGTAAAACGTGTGCTCCCCACCGCAATACGAGGCCATTCGTATTCAGCGAACGTTAACGATGAAATTAAGATGTATTGCTTTGAAACTGTTATAGTCAATATTTTCATTGGCATACACAGACCCTCATTTGTAAGTAACTTCCTGATTCGCCAAATCTCAATACACTTAGTACGCAATGTCGTCAGGACTCTCTCAGATCTGGTTGCCCCTGTTGGAAAGAAAGACTAGACTCGTTGATATGGCACCACTTGAAACCAGCCACACTGTTATGATGGGGAAACAGCAGCAAGCGAAAACCAATAAGCAAAAAGTACGATTACATACGATCCCGTTTTTGTCCACCGGGACGTCCACTACGATCTTAAATATATAACCGTCGCGGAGATATTCTGTTTGATGTTTGCTATCCTTTGCAGGTCGTACTAGCGCAGAGACGCTGCTAGCGACATATATAACAAGAGATACTACCGCGAAAACCCGACTCATTATGAGGCCTGCAAACGAGCACATATATCATGTTAAAGCAGTTTCTAGACTTTGTCCAATGGTTTCCGTAAGCTCCATTGGTCGATAGGTCGATTTATTCTATTATAGAATGTCCCTCTACGACAAACAATAATATTTTTTTTAACGAATTAACGGCACTGTCGGCCTGAGCCATACATTGAAGTTCTTTGCCGTGAAATAATCAACTATAAGCCGTACGCAAACGTATAAAAGGAAAATAAAAGTTCGGTTGGAAAATAGCTAATTTTTTTTATTACGGTACTTTACCCGTCACTCCATTTGCTATCACACAGATATTTATATCAGTCTTATTTAATTATTAACGCATATCTATAGTATAAATATGTATATTTTTATTGGATCTTGTCGTGCTTACATATGCTTGCCGCGCCATATGAAATCCTCTTGAGTATTATGAGTTGAACCGGTCAAGGTGCAAATTCAGTCCTGAGTCACATCGCAGTAGAACACATCTAGGCCCAAAGTCAGCCTATCGCAGATAACTGGGAAGAGGCATAACAAATTGACATTAATTCTAAATATGGATTCGTGTTTTGTAGGGCAATATATTTTCATTTCAGGTACTTGTTACTGTAGGCAATATTGCGCAAACAATAGCTTAAAAATGATTGTTCAATAATCTTCTAATTCTTCGTTGCGATCCCGTCTAAACTAGAGCTTGAATTTACTAATGTTGCATTGTGCATAATGATGAATCATCAAGTTACAAGGAACACATAGTTGAATGAAGGTGTAAAATAGACCTACCAATTAGGCGCATATTGCTTTAATATTATTATACGTGTCTAATGATCTGGCCGTCGATTCACTGAAGCATTGTGGCTGAATGAAGACTTTTAAAATGAGGCTCTCAGAAACGACGCGCATGTATATTTCATAGCGTTCGTTTCGTGGTGATTATCAGAATCTAGTGAAGTTTCAAAGGATCAAAAGCATTGCCTCATATGCACACGTTCCTCATAAGAGCTTAATTTACGCCCACGAATTAACAACAATTGAAAGCACAGTTTGTAAGATTAGCACAAAAGCCGTTGGTCTACCTCGTTGATCGGGTCCGAATCTGTCGTCGGCACTCGCCTTCGTTGAGGCTAGTTGCAACTACCTCTACAGTGATTAGGGAATTGTTTTCCGATAACAACATTAAGTACACACATTGATAAATAGATGGTAGAGCAGACGGCCAGTCAGCGTAGACAGCGCACGCGTTATAGAAATTCGCGCGACACGTACACACACACACACACACACAGACAACATAAATGAAACAATTGTTTTTGTCGCATCGTAGGGCCGACTTTTGGACGGACACGGTAAACGTATAATAACTGAGACCGCGGTAACATGTACAACTCTGCACATCCAGAATCGAACGTTCTGCACGATAGTTTTAGGTGTGCATTTATGTATTTGATTAGCCCCAATAGCAGCTGTACAAGCACATTGAAAGATATCTAATAGAAGGAAACGGCAATACGGAACTTGGAATGAAGCTAGTTTATTATTATTAGGCTTCAAATAGAGTTAGAAGCGCTTGACAACGTTCAGCAGATTGATGGTGAGCTTACCAGCTGCAGATGGTACAATATAGTTTACTGTGGATCAGATCTTTATCTATGCTATCATATGTGCTGAGAGTCTTTGTTAAATACAGCCTTCCTTCAACATGAACGCTAACCTTCGATCGACAAATGCGTTGGCAAGGATTAAGCTACGGCTAGTGAAGCAAGTGATATAAAAAAAAAACAAAAAAAAAAAGCGACGATGGCCCAAAAAGACAACAGAACAGCTAATATAAGAGCAAGTTACAACTTGAGATGGAAATTATATAAATATAATCGCATTGCTAAACTTAATATAGCATATCATGCATACTGCTGTCGTTGAGTCACGTGTAAACAGCGCTATTTTATTTTTAGCTAAAACGTTCAACTGAGTTCTAGAAACATACCGTAATAATCTTCTATTATCTCAGTCTTACTCAGTGTGAAATGGGTTTTGTTGTTAGATACATAGAGGGTTATAATAGTTATACATAGGGTTAGAATAGTGAAGTGTCATACAGTGACAAAATGTTGGCCCGATTTTGTAGTGAACGCTGTGAAAAGTGTTGGAGAGTATTTATTACATGTACATAGGTCCAGATACGTTGTATCGTTAATATTTGCGCGCCTGCGTCTGTAGCACGCAACTACAACGCGTCTGTGTACTAAAGTATGCATTTTATATTCAATAACTCAAGCCCCAGTTAGAACCCTATGTTTTTAAGGATACAAATGTAGTTTAAAAGGCATTAACCATATTACCAGCGGCCAAGATTTCTGTCTGCGAATTTTTTACAGGCTCAAGTACTTAAACGCTATCACATCACCGTCGAATTTCACACCATTGAAAATCTACGCTTAATTATAAGAATAATCACCTTTCTTTGTTTAAGAATCACTCATTTAGACGGGTTACGGTTGGGATGGCTGTGTAAGAAGTATCGGTAGGTCTAGTGCTAAGATTATACCGAGAAATGCTAAAATCAACGTTTTAGGCATTGGCCTAAATGTTAGCAGGGCCGTTATATATATATATA